GGCCGATTGCTGACCCTCCTGGCGGCACGCCGTGCGGCGGCCCGCGTCCTCGCGCACCAACGGGGCGGGGGCCTTCCGCCCGAAGGCTTCCATCGCTCGCGACTGTGTCCGCAGCGCCATATTGATGTGGCACGGCTTAATCGCGAAATCGCGCCACTCCGCGGAAGAATCGCCCGCAAACGGCTTCGCGCCTGGCTTCAGGGCCGCAATCAACATATCGCGCATGGCCGCATCCGAGTAATCAATCGGGCGGACCGCCCCGATCGCTTCGGCCATCAGGCGCGCGACCGTGGTGCACAGCACCAGCTCGGGAGCTGGCGATGCGCCCCCCTCCGCCGCGTTGGCCGCTGCGACGAAGAGGACCCAATCGGCCTTGCGCGCCGCTGCGAGTGGGCTCATGCCCGCGGTAGACGCACGGAGACGCGCGCGCGCGCCCTGATGGCATTTTTGTCGGTGCCGAATGCGCCAGCAGGCAGATCGCCAAGCAACTCAACGATGTCTGAGCGAGCCAGCGCCATGGATGCTGCGCGCGCGTCGGAAAGCGCCGTGCACGTATCCCCCTCGGCGTCCTTATCGCGCGCTGGCGGTTGCACATGACATAACCCGCAGGCATCCAGCGCAAGAGGGCAGGCAAACGCACGCCGCAGGCATACTGCGCACCGGGGCTGACAGGCAGCATCCGCAGGCATACTGCGCACTGGGCCGGCATACGGCAACCGCAGGCGTACTGCGTACAAGGGCCGGCATACGGCACACACTTGCAGGCATACTGCAACGCACGCAGGCATACTGCGCTATGGGGGGGGGCCGGCATACGGCACTCGCAGGCATACTGCGCTTAATGGCCGGCATACGGCGCCCACTTGCAGGCATACAGCCGCGCGCGCAGGCATACTGCGGAGAGGGCCTGACAGGCAGCAATCGCAGGCATACTGCGTACAGGGCCGACATTCGGAATTCGCAGGCATACTGCGCACAATGGCCGGCATACGGCACACACTGCAGGCATACTGCACAGAGGAATGATTGCCGGCGTACGGCATCCGCAGGCATACTGCGCACAAGGGACCAGCATACGGCGCGCACTTGCAGTACAGCGCAGGGGACAAGTGGCCGGCATACGGCATCCGCAGGCATACTGCGCACTGGGTCGGCATTCGGCCCAGGATGACCCGTACTCATGTGTGTCCTGACCTTCGAGCCGCAAAACCGACGAGGGACGTAGGTGCTCTCCACGAAGTAGACGCGCGGACCTGTGGGGGAGGAGGGGAGGGGAGGAACCTGCAACGGGAGAGAGAGGCGGCGGAGCGGCCAAGCGAACGCGCGCGCGGGAGGAGGGGCGAGGGGAGGAACCTGCGACGGGAGAGAGAGGCGGCGGAGCGGCCAAGCGAACGCGCGCGCGGGAGGAGGGGGGGGGGGGGAACCTGCGACGGGAGAGAGAGGCGGCGGAGCGGTCAAGCGACGCGCGCGCGGGAGGAGGGGGGGGGGGGGAACCTGCGACGGGAGAAAGAGGCGGCGGAGCGGCCAAGCGAACGCGCGCGAAAAACGCATCCCGCCAGCGGGACGGCCACGCGTGAGACAAATCCCATTCACCTGCGACGAGAACGCGCTCGCGGGCGCGCAGGGTGGGGATCCGCCTCAGCCGTGAATAGCCGTCCCGCAGCATTAGAGACAAGCAAGAAGATAGCCAATAGGGGCCACGACGCTCGCGCGACTTCTCCCCGCGCTCAAATGCTGCCCAGAGCGCCCATAAAAAGTGTTGGGTTTCCTACAAATCCGCAAGAGCGCGCGGGATGAAACTTTGACATTTTTTGAAAAAAAAAAAAAAAAAAAAAAAAAAAAAAAAAAAAAAAAAACCTTGTTTTTTATGTTGTTATGTTAAAATCGTTACGAACACTAAGGTTTTGGAAGGATTTCGTCTTGCGCGCGCGAATGTCCACTTTACCTTATTTGTTGCCAAGGGATTCTTGAAGTTTGGTTATGTTAGAACAAGAAATGTCCACTTTGCCTTATTTTTTTGCAAGGGAAAACCGCCCGTAACAAAACAACCGGATCCGGACCAACCCGTTTTGCCGGAGACTTCCTCACGAAAATGATGAAAACATGGCTGCGGCCTAGGCGCGGCGAGGGGGCCGTGCACCAGGGGCCCCAACAATAATTATTCTTTAGAAGTAATAATGTTCAACAACAACAACAACAATTACTAGCACGTGGGGACACTCCGTTCTCACCAGTGCCAGGGTTTTCATAGGAGGCGGGCAATACCCCCACTTTGTGGGGGGGCCGGTTCAAGCTCTACCAAATTTCCAAACGACTCTTCGCCACCACCCACACCCAGCTTCCCGCCCTATGACGTTCGGACACTTCACTTCGTGGCATGCGGACGACCGTGGCTACTATTCAGGGCCCCGCGGCCGACGACGACGGCGTGCGCGCGCGAAGAAAAAACGAATGTGTCCCGCATGGTATTATTTGACAGGGATGATGGCCCTGGCAGGTGCGCAACCGTTGTCGCAGAAGTTCGAAAAAGTTGCTCGCAAAAGCCCGTTTGACAGAAATGTTTAAAAAGTGTTGGGTTTCCTACGAATCCGCAAGAGCGCGCGGGATGAGATTTTGACAATTTTTTGTTGAAAAACCATTGGTTTTTTTGATGTTTTTATGTTAAAATCGCTGCGAACACTAAGGTTTTGGAAGGATTTCGTCTTGCGCGCGCGAATGTCCACTTTACCTTATTTTTTGCAAGGGATTCTTGAAATTTGATTATATTAGAACAAGAAATGTCATTTTCTATTGTTTTTTGCAAGGGAAAGCGGATTACAACAAAACAACCGGATCCTGTACACACCCTCTTTTTCTGAGGCTTCCTCACGAAAATGATGAAAATGTAGCTGCGGCCTAGGCGGCGCAGGGGGGGCGCGCACCAGGGGGCCCAACAATAATTATTCTTTAGAATAAATAATGTTCAACAACAACAACAACAACAATTACTAGCACGTGGGGACACTCCGTTCTCACCAGTGCCAGGGTTTTCATACGACGCCCGCCAATACCCCCACTTTGTGGGGGGGCCGGTTCAAGCTCTACCACATTTCCAAACGACTCTTCGCCACCACCCACACCCAGCTTCCCGCCCTATGACGTTCGGACACTTCACTTCGTGGCCTGCGGACGACCGTGGCTACTACACTGGCGCATGGGTACAGTGACTTGTTGTGGTAACATTTTCTGGACGCTAGCTTAGTATACGACTTAGTCTTACGTGAAAAAGTTGTTCGCAAAAGCCCGTTTGACAGAAATGTTTAAAAAGTGTTGGGTTTCCTACAAATCCGCAAGAGCGCGCGGGATGAAATTTTGACACTTTTGTTTTGAAAAACCATTGGTGTTTTGATGTTTTTTATGTTAAAATCGCTACGAACACTAAGGTTTTGGAAGGATTTCGTCTTGCGCGCGCGAATGTCCACTTTACCTTATTTTTTGCCAGGGATTCTTGAAGTTTGGTTATGTTAGAACAAGAAATGTCCACTTTGCCTTTTTTTTGCAAGGGAAAACCGCCCGTAACAAAACAACCGGATCCGGACCAACCCGTTTTGCCAGAGACTTCCCCACGAAAATGATGAAAACATGGCTGCGGCCTAGGCGCGGCGAGGGGGCCGTGCACCAGGGGCCCCAACAATAATTATTCTTTAGAAGTAATAATGTTCAACAACAACAGCAACAACAACCACAACCACAACCACAACCACAACCACAACCACAACCACAACCACAACCACAACCACAACAACACCACCAACAACAACAAACATGTTCCCCTCATGCGCGATGTTTCCACACGCAGCATGCGACCATCATGATAACCATCCCCATCATGGGGGACTATTGTTCTATCACGGGGGTCCGTTATTCCCATTCCCAGATCTCCCGCCCAATGAGGTTTTGCAAGTACCTCCTCCGAGGAATGTCAACATATCCCGCCTCGAAAACACATGCCCCCGCCCTGCTGCGCCGATGCGAGACCGCCAGTGGAGCCCCAGCCAAGGGTAAAGCACAAGGAAGTATCGAGCGACAGGATTGGCTTGGTGGGGATGGGGGCTGTCGGCGGCGAGGCAAGGACCTGGCCTTGAATAGAAAGGGAGGAAGTCTCGAGCAGGGGTGCTGTTGTTGCTGGGAGCGGCGCCAATGCAGAAGAGAGTAGGGCGCTAGTCCAGCGTGAAACAACACGAAGTCTCGAGCGGGAGCGCTGGTTCTGTTGGGACGGCGGTTGTCGGCGGCGAGGAGGAACACCGCCTTGAGCAAGAAGAGGAAAAGTCGCGAGCGGGAGCCGCGGTTTGGTCGGGACAGGGGCTGTCAGCGGCGAGGAACAGCACCGTCTTCAGGGAAAAGGGAGGAAGTATCGAGCGGGAGCGTTGTTCTTGCTGGGGGCAGCGCCAATTCAAAAGAGGGTTGGGCGCCAGTTCAGCGTAAAACGGGAGGAAGTCTCGGGCGGGAGCGCTGGTTTTGTTGGGGCGGCGGTTTTCGGCGGCGAGCAAAAGCACCAGCTGTGAGTAAAAAAGAGAAGTCTCGAGCGGGAGCGTTGTTCTTGCTGGGGGCGGCGCCGATGAGAGAAAGAGCAGAGGGCCAATCCAAGGTAAAACGGGAGGAAGTCTCGAGCGGGAGCGTTAGTTTTGCTGGGGCGGCGGTTTCGGCGGCGAGCAAGAGCACCGGCTCTGGATCAAAAAAAGGAAGTCTCGAGAGGGACCGTTGTTGTTGGGGGGCGGTTTTGGCGCCCCCCAAACCGCTCGAGCGTGAACCTCATATGCAATGAAAATGTAGCGGACGCCGAGGCGAGAGGGTCAGAGCGCTTGGGGGGTCCAACAAAGAAAATTGTTTAGCAATTAACATTCATCATTAAAAACAACGCAACAAACATAATCATCACCACGGACTCTGACTTCAGCCACGCACCCAGGGACAATGGATGACCGTTCGGCACCCTCACCCTGACCACGCACCTGCACTTTTTCCCCACATGACCCTTCCTGCCTGGCGTCTCCGCTGCCTGCCAGCGCCAGCTGACGTCTTGCCGAGTCGCCTCCCGAAACGCCATGGTGAGGTAAGCGGCCGCAGGCAGCGTACAGGAGAAGATGACCGAGCCCGGATCCTCCGACTACCTACCAGGCCACCCCAACCCAACCCGAAGTCCGAAATACAGGGCTGGACGGCGCACGGGCTCCAGGGTGCCTGTATATTTCAGTGTCCCAGGATGTGCCCCCGCTGGGACATGGAGGACAACCTGGGGCCTTCGGGTTGGGCCTCGTTGGTGTGGCTTGGTGGGCAGCGCTCCCCTGGCCCGCACGCCGCTGCTGCCTCGCCCTCGCCGCGGCTGCAGGCGCCGCCCCCGCGCGGAGCCGCCACGGCGCCGCTCAGCCGGTCCACGTCCGTGAGAAGGAGTCTGCCGCACTGCTGCTTCGCCACCCGGGCGGACTCCTCGGCCGGCACCGCCCCCCAGGACAGGTCCCCGGGCACCGTCGCCAGCGCCCTCGCCGGCGACTCTCGGGCCGGGCGAGGGGGGGGGGGATAGCAAAGGGGGGGTTTGAGAGAGAATCAGCTCACCTAGAGCTGGTTTTCCCGGCGCCTCCCGGCGCCGGGAGGCGCCCATGTATATCGAGGAATGGGCCCGGCGGCGGGGCCGAAACCAGCTGCATGCGGCAGATTTCGTACCCCCCCTTTCCCTATCCCCCCCGTTCGTTCGGCCCGAGACTCCGAAGGGCGTGGTCTGCCAGGGGGCGCGGTCTGCAACCCGCGCCCCGGGAGGGCGGGCGCGGGCCTTGGCAGAGAGCTCTCCGCCGCGCCCAGACCAGGGCTCGTCGAGCCTCTGGCGCACCGAGGGGGCCCCAGGAAGCCCCTGCTGGGGAAACCGAGAGGTACGGTACAGATACCGCTACTTCCCGGGACTCTCCCGGGGTGCGTTCTGACCAGGATCTCGAGGCGCACCCAGCGGGGGCGACGAGGGCCGCCCAGGAGGACCCAAGAGGGGAAAACGAGGCGCCAGGGTAGAGGTATGGGTACCTCTTCCTCCTCTGACCTACGGGCGCCGATCGCAGACAACACCCTGGCGTAACTGACCACACCCGTTATTTGAGCAGGGACCGACCGTCCCGGTATATAGGCCTACCACGACATGTTCTTAGAAGCCAGAAACGTTCTACGAAGAAAAACACTGTTCTCAGAACATAAACCCGATGTGGTAAAACAAGACAGTCCCAGCCAGAAATCTTCTGAGAACATTTCGCGGAAACCACAAAACAGGTTCTTAGAACATTGTTTGGTAGGCCTATAGGTACGACAGGACGCTTCGCCACTGCCTGAGTTATGAGGCCGCCGACCTGTAGACCCCCGTGAGGGGCAGCCCCAAGGGCGGCTCCCGGTGGAAGGCCTCCAGGGGCAGCCCCAGCAGCTCCAGGGACAGGGCCTCGTAGACCGAGCGCAGGCCCGGCGGGTACTCCACCTGATGGGTCAGTTTGCCACTACCACTACCATAGGTAGGAGGAGGAGGACAAGGAGGAGGAGGAGGAGGAGGAGGAGCAGGAGGAGGAGGAGGAGGAGGAGGAGAGGAGGAGGAGGGGGGGAGGGGGAGGAGCAGGAGGCGGAGAAGGAGGAGGAGGAGGAGGAGGAGGAGGAGGAGGAGCAGGAGCTCGGAGAAGGAGGAGGACCTCCCCCCATCCTCCCTTCTCCCCCCGTCTTGCCTGTGGTCGTGGTGGTGGGCAGTTGGCCCGTCGCCACCGCGGAGCCCGGCAGCGGCAGCACCACGTCCGCGAGGCCCGCGGCGGCGGCGGGGTCGTCCAGGACGCGGGCCCGCGGCGGCCGCCGCGCCCCCCGCGCGGGGCCGCGGAGTGCGGCGGGGCCGGCGTCGGGGGGGCGCTCGTCGGAGGGCGTCGGCTGCCCGCACCCGCACACGGGGCCCCGGCCGGGCCCCTCCTGGGCCTGCGCGCGGAGGCCTCCCAGACAAACAGAATCAAGAATAGCAGGCAAATCGTCTCCAGACCATCTGTTCACTATATTTGGATCTGCCTCGTGAAGAAAGTAATGCCCGATTTAACCCTATCCCCACTGGTGTGGCCTTGGTCCTACTGGCCAAGCGTACCCACCCCAGGTGGGGATGTGTGCCTCTTCCTTCGGGTTTCGCGGGGTGTGTCCCCAGCCGGGTTGAGTGGGCTGGTGGTCGGCGGCGAGCGATGGGGGGAAGTGAGAAGGAGAAGGCCTTCTCAGAAGGCGGCGGGGCTTCTCAGAAAACCTCGCGCCTTCTGAGAACAATTGCTTGTGTTTTCGGGGAAGGCTCAGAAAACTTCTCATAAGGCCGGGGGACTTCCGAGCCTTCCGAGAAGGCCCGCCCCTTCTCACTTGCCCCCCTCGTTCGCCGCCGAAGATGGGGTCGAAGGGCACGATGAAACAGAAGAGCTCTGGAGCTGGGAGTGCGCAATTGGTTCCGCCTGGCTCTCGGACGTGCCTCCGACGACTTCTAGTAGATTCGAGCCTCGGCGGCTACGGTTCGCAAAATATTCACGCAGTGATGCGCACGGGCATGCATGCACCGATGCATCGGCGATGTCGGCGGTGCGTCGGCGACGTCTGCTTGGAGAAAGTCGTGCTTCACATCGAGCAGCATCGCCGATGCATCGGCCATGCGGCGCGATGCCCCGACCCCATCTACTCGGACCCCACCTGGGAACCCTAGACGTTGCTGGATCAGGGCGTACGCCCTCCTGGCATTGCGGGGAGGGCATGCGGTCGGGAACCTTGCCTTGGCGTGTCGCGGCGGCGGCCCCGGCGACACGCCATGCCCTGCAAGCGGATCGCCTGTCGCTCCGCTCCGCGGGGCGGGAGGCCCGGGAATGCTCGGGAAGTGGGCCTCTTGGTGGGAGGAAGGAGGGAGGGAGGAGGGAGGAGGGAGGAGGGAGGGGGAGGGGGGGGAGGGGAGGAGGGAGGAGGGAGGAGACGACAACGACGACGACGACGACAACGACGACGACGATGAAAACGCCGACAACGAATGGGGGCGCGGGCGGCTTGCCGCGCCGAGGCGCGGTGGGCGCCAGGGCGGGCGGAGCGACACGCCGAGCCGCAGCTCCTGGTCGCACACGCCGACCCGGGGCCCGTCGGGCGGGGGGCCATAAGGGGGACTGACCCATATGGGGAGAACAAAAACAAGGGCCCTCGATGGGGCCCTGTAGGGCCCTGCTCTTCATCCCCACCCACTCCTCCTCTTCCTCCTCCTCCTCCTCCCCCTCCTCCTCCTCCTCCTCCTCCTCCTCCTCCTCCTCCCTCCTCCTCCGCCTCCTCCTCCTCCTCCTCCTCCTCCTCCTCGTCCTTCTCCTCCTCCCCCTCTTTTCCTCCTCCTCCTCCTCCTCCTACTCCTCCTCCTCCTCTCCTCCTCCTCCTCCTCCTCCTCCTCCTCCTCCTCCTCCTCCTGTTTTCCCGCCGCCCGAATCATTGGCCCGGGTCTGGCGGCGGCGCGCACACGGGGGCAGGGGGGAAGGGGGGGGGGCGTCATCAGAAGAAACCTGGTTCCCAGAAAGCGCCGGCCCTCCCATCTGGAGAGACTGGGCACGCGCCTTCTGAGCAGCCTCCTCTTGAGAAGCCTTCCCCTTTTCGCCCTGCCCCCACTTTTGCGCGTGTCGTCGGACTTCGGGCCATAGCTCGGACCTCGGGCGGCCGTTGGGGACGATCCGGGCACTCCCGGAGCACTGCTCAGCGAGGCGCGGGTGCTGGAGAGCGTGCCGAAGCTGGAAGACCGCAAACCGCCCCCGAAAGTCAACGAAGATCCCCCCTTTGCGCGTGGACGACAGGACTTGAGCAGGGGCCGACCGTCCCCGGCATTCCTATAAGACTACCACGACATGTTCCCAAAACGCAAGAATATTCGACAGTATTGCTCTTAGAGCACAAGCCGAGTGTGCTAGAACAAGACAGCCCCAGGCTAGACATGTTCTAAGAACATGTCGTGCAGGCCACACCAAAGACTCTTAGACCATTATCAGGTGGGCATCTGGAGGAGCCAGGACGCTTCGCCATTGTTCGAAGGACGGGCGTGGGTGCACGGTTCGGTCGGGCATGCCCCCCTACAGGCAAATGTTGGAAGGAAAACAAAACTATTAAAACAATGGCAGCCAGCGTTGATTCCAAATATACATTGGGTGATGATGAAGATGATGACGATGATGATGACGATGAAGACGATCCTGTTTTCCACACGCGCACACTCCAGTCCACTGTGCCGTCCCGTACTGGACCGTGCGGCCCAGCAGCTGCGTCAGGGGAGCAGCGCGCCGACTACGCCTCCCTCGCGGGCGTGTCCGCGCCGCGCTGTGTTGGGGCGTCTACTGACACGTGTTACTAAGGAGCGCTCAGAGGTGGTGCGTAGGAATAGGCATAGGCATAAGCATCGGCATATAGGCATAGGCATGGGCATCGGCGTCGACATAGAAGTTAGGGGGGAGGCATAGGCATAGGCATAGCATAGGCATCGGAATTTAAGGGGGGCACAGGAACTAGGGGGAGGCAACGGACCAATCCCACCCGCCCTCTAGGGCGTAGGTGGTTTAGGGTGTTTCCTCTTCCCCCCTTCTTCCCCTTCGGGGAAAGGTTTATCATTACTTCTCATGGCTAAACACTCCAACGTCCCCATTTAGCTGGCCGGTAGCAACCCCGCCGTCCGAACTGTCAAACAACAGAACAAACTCAACATTTGTTTCGCCAACGTGTCGTCGACTTGCGGAAAATGTAGCAGGAAAAAAACGGAATGAACATCGTTCGGGTAACCCTAAGCGGGTGGTCGCGTCCTACCCATCAAAGAAGCCAAATAAAATCAACGCTTTTCTCGTCAGCATGGACTTCTTTGCCGTCGGCGCTGCGAAAAGTGTGGCACGAATGGGACGCGGCGCGCATCGCGCGCGGACGCCTGGTCAACCCTACGCGGGACCCCCCGTCCTGCCTGTCAAAAAGAAAACACAGCAACGTCGACGTTCTTCTTGCCAACATGTACTTTCTCCTCGTCGGCACTGCGAATCGCGCAGCAGTAATGAAACGCGGCGCACACCGCGCACTGAGGGCTTCGGTGGAGATCATTATGGGGCCACGAAGCGCTGTACTGAGCGGGTGACACTGCCAAATTGAGTGCAGGGGACGCATGCGGGCGGTCCCACTGGGGGCTTCGGTGGAGTTCCCTATGGGGTCACGAAGCGCTGCGCTGGGTGGGTGACAATGCCAACTTGGATGTGGGGGACGCATGCGGGCGGTCCCACTGGGGGCTTCGGTGGGGTTCCCTATTAGGCCACGAAGCGCTGTACTGGGTGGGTGAAAATGCCAAATTGGATGTGGGGGACGCATGTGGGCGGTACCACTGGGGGTTTCGGTGGAGCTCCCCATGGGGCCACGAAACGCTGTACTAGGTGGGTGTAGATGCCAAATTGGGCGTGGGGGACGCACGCGGGCGATCCCACTGGGGGCTTCGGTGGAGATCATTCTGGGGCCACGAAACGCTGTGATGGGTGGGCGAAACCCATGGAAGAAGGAGGAGGGAGGGGAGGATGAGGAGGAGGAGGAGGAGGAGAGGAGAAGAGGAGGAACGCGGGGCGACGTCTCTTCAAAACGAGGACCCAACACCAAAGGATGGTTGGGAAAACCATGTAACCAAAAAAGAACTCATGTATATAGCCTATATGTAAAGAAAAATCAATTTCTGCAAATTCCTCCTGTAGACTGACGTGCCCGACTTCCGCGTACGGCTGGCGCCCTCCGAACTCGAGCACCAGGTCGCCGGCCACCGGCCGCGCGCCCGCGCGGCGGAGTCGCTGGGACAGCGCGTGGTTGAACAGGAGGCTCTGCGCGGACTTCGCGTACAGCATCAGGGCCTGCCGCGGCAGCCGCCCGAGGGCCTCCTCTGAGGCGAAGGCAAAGTCTGATGGGCCGATCTTCCACCGCCACTACCATAGGTAATTAAGAGAGTGAGGAGGGGGAGGAGGAGGAGGAGGAGGAGGAGGAGGAGGAGGAGGAGGAGGAGGAGGAGGAGGAGGAGTAAGAGGAGAAGGAGGAGGTGGAGGAGGAGGAGGAGGACCTCCCCAACCTCCCTCCTCCTCCGTCCTACATAGGTTAGTGGTGGTGGAAAACCAGCCGAGCAAAGTCGACACATAGACGGACCGACACAACTCGGAGATCCCTGAGAATCGGCAGGTAATCATGGAGGACGCAGCCCCAGACATGCGACCCTGGCTTTTCTAGGACGAGGCCCCCGGAGGTCCCGACCTGGTTTTTCATCCTGAGTGGATTTTTGACAGTCCCGAAGCCCGGCGAGGGCCCCCCGAGGCCGAAAATGACCAAAGACCTCCCGTCCTGATTTTTGTTACGACGCGATCATGTCTGGGGCGGGCGCCGCGGCCTGCTCAGTGCGCTCCGGAGCGCTCTGGGGAACGTCCGGCCACACGCTCGGGGAGCGGACTTCTCTCTCTCTCTCTCTCTCTCTCTCTCGGCCGAGAGGAAAGGAGGGAGGAAGGAAGGAAGGAAGAGACAGGAGGAAGGATGAGCGAGGAGGAGGCGAGTGTAGAGGCCTCCTAGATGGGGTCGGAGTAGATGGGGTCGGAGGATCGCGCCGCATCGCCGATACATCGGCCCGCTTGGTGCTGACAGGGCCCCGCCTCGGCCGAGAGCCCGGCGGCCAGCGACCGGAGCAGGCCGTGCTCGAGCGCGTAGCTCCTCGGCATCAGGTCCTCGCCAGCGGCGTCCCCCGTCACCGAGAAGACCCGCTGCGCCTTATTCGAGCGGGGGATCGAGAGAGGAGGAGGAGGAGGAGGAGAAGGGAAGATGGGGAAATGGAGGGGGAGGGGGAGGGGGAGGAGGAGGAGGAGGAGGGAGGAAGGAGGAGGAGGAGGAGGAGGAGGAGGAGGGAGGAGGAGCGGGGAGGAGGAGGAGGAGAGGAGGAGGGGAGGAGGAGGAGGAGAGAAGGAGGAGGAGAGAGAAGGAGGAGGAGGAGGCGGAGGTGGAGGAGGAGGAGGAGGGGGAAGGGGGAGGAGAGGAGGAGGAGGAGGAGGAGGAGGAGGAGGATGAGGAGGAGGAGGGGAATATATACATTACCACCGCCTGGAGGATCTATGTTTGGGGACCTCGGCAGACCGTGGATGTGCATCTACTCGGGCCCCCGGGGGCCGACATACATATACATATGTGTTGTATATACATATATATATATATATATATAAAAATACATATGCATATACATATACACATACACATATAACTACATATATACACATGCATACATACATACATATATACATACATACCTACCTACCTACCTACCTACCTACCTACATACATACATACATACATGCATGCAGACACACATGCATACATACATACATATATACATACATGCGTGCATGCATGCATACATACATACATACATACACGCATGCATACATACATACATACAAACATACATATACACACATACATACATACATACATACATACATACATACATACATACGTACGTACGTACGTACATACATACATACATATATACATACATACATACATACATACATACATACATACATACATACATACATACATGCATGCATGCATGCATCATGCATGCAACATGCATACATGCATACATGCATACATGCATACATACATACATACATACATACATACATACATACATATACATATATATACATACATACATACATACATACATACATACATATACATACATACATACATACATACATACATACATACATACATACATACATACATACACACACATACATACATACATACATACATACATACATACATACATACATACATACATACATACATACATACATACGTGCATGCATGCATGCATACATTCATGCATGCATGCATGCATGCATGCATGCATGCATACATACATACATACATACATACATACATACATACATACATATAAAGTTATATCCACATCCGCCGCCGGCTGGGGCGCCAGGACGTCGGTTCCCAGGCGGTGGAAAGGGACAGATCCCTGCTTCGCAGACTGCAGCACTGAGTTAAACCCGAGCTTGATTTCTCCCGCCAAATCCAAAACTCGTTCTTGTGGATTCCATGCGGCCTGCGCCATGGCGCCGCGGGGTCGCCGCAGGGGGGCGTCCAGGCGCCGCGGAGGGACGGCAGGGCGACACGAGCAAGGGGAGCGAGGAGCGAGGGGCGCGGCAGCGGAAGAGACAAAGAATTTGGACGGAACAGTATGTGCGCGAATCACATGCGTTAGACCACGCCGCTCACGACTTGTGTGTGGATCCGCTGGGGAACATCCATTTCGGAGTAAGCATAAATTCCGTAGCCGATCCCCTGTGCTCGAGCCTTCCAGGCCGCCACGGCCTCGGGCCCGGCGGCCTCCGCCGCGGCCAGGCCGTCGGCGGGCGGGACCTCGAGGCCCGGCCCCAGCAGCGAGGTGTCGCCCAGGATGAGCCGCACGGCGTCCCCGAAGCGCCAGCTCAGGAGGGCCGCGCCGATGCGGAAGGATGATGGGCCGATTGTCCACCGCCGCTACCATGGGCAGGCCAGGGGGGAAGAGAGGATGGGGAGGTGATTATCCTGCTCCTCTTCCAGTTCTTCATATTGTTACTATTATCCGTCGTCTTCTGCTCATTATTATTAGGCTCAGTGTTCTTCTTAGTATCACTATTATTAGTATTAGTAGTATTATTAATAGTCGTCTTCTTCATTTGTTATTAGTATTCAGAGTCTTCTTATTACTATTATCGCTAGTAATAGTATGTTTAGTGCTTTTCGTATCAACATTATTGTTGCTCGTCCTCCTCCTCCCTCTCCTACCGATGGTAGCGGTAATGGAACATCGGCCCATCAAAGGAGTGGATGCGCTGGGAGCCGAACCGCTGCAGGCCGAAGTAGTTCAGGAATCCGTGCTCTCGGAGGCCCTCGAAGCAGGTGTCCAGCACCCGCGTCCCGCCGGGCGGCGCCGCCATTGCCCCTGCTGGCACCCCGCGGAGCACCACGTGGAAGCGGTTGCCAGCGAGGTCGCCAAGCTCGATCTCGTGGGGACACTTGACCAGGTTAGAGAATCGCACTCGCGTGTTCCAGCTGGGATGAAGCACCGCCCGCCTGAGCTCGTCCGGCTGCAGCCGCGCGCAGGACACGCGCTGCACGGTCACAGCATTCTTGTCCTTGGTGCCCGCGAAGCTAAGAGGAAGGAACAGCTGCATGAGCACAGACTTTCGCAGCCCCGCGCGGACTTCTCGGCTCGGCGCTGGACCCTCCTGGCGGTGCCTCCTGCGCCGCCCCCGGCGCGTTCCGCGCCCAGGCAGGGGGGGGTCCAGCGCCAACCCGAGGAACAAATCCGCGCGGAGCCCTGGAAATATAGATGCCCCTGCCGCCGTGGCTCCCTCGAGAAGCGGAACGCCTTCGGGGAGTAGCCCGTGCAGCGCGCGATGCAGGCCACCGCGTCCATCGTGCCGGCGCCCTCCTTGGGGAGACCAGGAGGCACCGATACCGCTACCCCCTGGACCTCCCCCGGGGTGCGCTCGGACGAGAATTTCGAGGCGAATCCAGCGGTGGAGAGCCTCCGAGATGCGCCCAGACAGGGGCTATGAGCGGGCGAGGGGTGGAGGGTACGGGTGCCTCTCCCTCCTCCGGCTCCTTGTAGAGCCGGAAGTGCAGGTGCTCGGCGGGCTGCTGCGGGTGCAGGGCCCTCCTGCCCGACGCGCCGCCCAGCAGCTCGGCCCCGGGCGGCGCGGGCCCGAGCGCGGCGGCCTGCTCCGCCGTCCACAGCTCCGTGAGGTGGAGCTCCTCGCCCCCAGGGGCTATCTCGTGCACCTGGAAGTCCCACGGCGCGTGCTTGACGCGCGGGCGCGGCCCACGCGGCCCCGAGCAGACCATCCCCTTCCGTGGCGTCACCCTCGCCTGTTCAGCTTCCCTCCTCCTCCCCCTCCCGACTCCTCCGACTCCTTCTCCTCCTCCTCCTCCTCCTCCTCCTCCTCCTCCTCCTCCTCCTCCTGCAAACTTCTTGGGGCGAGGCGAGGGGGACGTCACAGAAGGGGATGGCCTCCTGGGGGTCCTCTACGCCGCCCCCGAGATGCGCGCGGAGAAGCCTGGCAGCCCGGGCGTCATGAACTCCGTGATGCCGGCCTCCTCCGCCGTCAGCGTCTGCCCGTGCGAGTACCAGCGCCCGGCGGCACCGGACCTGCTGGCACCAGCCCATCGGCGCACGGACCTCATGGAGCACGCGAGGGCGGGGGTGCACTTTGGTCGGGCATGTCCCCCTACAGGCGGATTGTGGAGGAAATATAAAGAATAATCCAAAAATACCAGAACAGAACCACAAAATATACTCCACACATCGTCCCCAGACTATGTTTTGGCTATGTTCGAAGATTCCCCCTGGAGAGGGACGTGCCCGACTTGAGGGTGTAGACGGGGAGAGCGAGGGGGGGGTATAGCCAAGGCCTGCTTCGGGCCGAGGGCCACGCTCCTCCCTGTGAGCAGAGCGGCGGCGCCGGCGGAGGCTGTGGGCTCGAAGCGCCCGCAAGAGTCGTGGGCGTCGCCACCGCAGCCCGTGGCTCCATTGGGCTGGGGACGGCTGTCGTCTCCTGTCCTCGCACCACGTCTCGATGAATCTCGTCACACCAGGTTTCGCGTTGCTTGCGGCGCCGTCGTCTGCGAATGTGCGTTGACTTCAAGACGAGTGCGCTCGGATTCTGTGGGGCTGCGGCGCCAATAGTCAGACAAATGAGCACATGCAGAAAAGGGCCAGAGGAAACCGCCGAGGACGAGGACAACGAGGGAGGAAGGAGACTGGGCGAGACATTGGAGCGCAGAGTAGCGTCCGGTTTGCAAGCTTGGCTACGTGAGACTCCCAAGATCAGCCCTACAATGCCCGCTGGAACGCGCTCACCGTCGAGTTGCAGCAGATCCTCCTCGCCTTCCCCCTTTCCCCTTCCCATCCTCCACGATCCTTGCGTGTATGGTTTGGGTCCTCCGGTACGATGGCTGGGAATCCGTCCCAAACACCCCTGGTGTCCCCGTTTGGGCTTGTAGGGGGCACCCATAGATTTCGGCACCGCGTGGCATTCATAGTGAAAGGTTCGCGCATGGCGAGCTCATGCTGGCATGACACACTGCAACTTGCTCATAGTCCGAGCCACCACCATCACCAAGTCTTTCTCATCCCCAACTGTAGGGCGAGAATGATTGCATGGTAAGATTGGCTCGGAATTCGTTCCAGGATTGCCAGAGTATCTAGCGGCCCAGCAAGTGCGGCGCAGCCTGTGCGGAACGTTAGGAAGCATGAGAAATTCTGGAAACCTTGGAAAACCTGGAACGTGTCATTGACCTGACCTCTAACTCCTCTGAATCCCCAGCTGGGCCCATGCACGTCCACTCTCGAATCCTTTTTCAGACAGCGATGCCTTGAGCATGGCGCTGCCGGCGCGCGCTGCCGCGGCCGCTTGCCGGCGGCTGTCAGCGCGCGCTCCTGCGCGAGGTGATGTTGAACCAGTGCTCGTCCTCCTCTTTCGTCAGCCTCGCAGGCAACCGGACTCGAGCTGATCCCCATCCCTGCAGATCGGCCAACCCAAGGGCCATGACAGTCGTAGGGATGCGCCCGCAGAGACGGAGGGAATCCTTAAGATCGACATCGAGAAAAGGTGATGCCGATCATACATCCCTCCGCGAAACTCAACGCAAATTTTTCCCGCGCCGCGTCGGCCCCCCCAGACCCAGAATCCCAATGCTGATTCCGCGACACATGTCGCGCGACCAAATGAACCTTGACATTTTCGGCGAGGGGAGGTCGGTAAAATTAATAAGTCTCGCGTAGTGTTGTAGGGATGGGGGTACGCCTCAGGCTTGTGAGCAGGCCACGGGCGCTCGGGGAAGTGTGGCGCGCCAGGGGCAAGAGGGGAGACGCAGGGAAGCGGCAGGATTCTAGGACTCCAGCTTGGCCTCGCGCGTACCTTCGAAGGCAGAAAGAGGCAGGAGAGAAGGGCGATAATGATGACGATGATGATGACGATGATGATGATGATGATGCTAATGATGATGATGATGATGATGATGATGATGATGATGATGATGATGATGATGATGATGATGATGATGATGATGATGATGATGATGATGATGATGATGGTGGGAGGAGGAGGAGGAGGAGGAGAAGTATGAGGAGGGGGGCGGAGGGGGAGAGGAATCCCACCAGCCCTCGGGGCGTGAGTGGTTTCGCGAGTTGCCTCTTCCATCTTCCCTCTTCCCCTTCGGGGAGGGGTTGATCAGTGTTTCTTCATAAACACCCCCTCCCCAAGGCGACCAGCAGCCAACCAGGACCACTAAGGGCACCCTCCAAAACCACCATCCCAGTCAAAAAAAGTAAAGTCCACTTTGGGGCAAAATCTTTGGTCATGATCAGGGGGGGCGCGAGTACTTTGCTTTTGACAGGGACGGCGGGGGTGCCCGCATATTGCCTGCTGCGCGCAGGGCCAGAACCCCGTTCAAAAGCAATCCAAAATACCCTTCGAGACAAAATCTGGATCATACGCGGGCACCCCGCGATCACTGCGCATTCGTTTTTGACTGGGACGGCGGGGGTGCTGGCATATTGACTGCTCTGTGCAGGCCCACCAGACGCTGTGATGGCCACCCCGCTGCGATGGCTCACTGGTTCTCGACAAGTGTGGTGGGGGCCAGCACGCTTCCCGATGTGTACTCCCACGTGCGCAGACACACCTGGCACACCCTGCGCATGCCCCGAACGTGGCGCACCTGGCGCGGCTGGAGCATGCGGCACACATGGCGCACGTGGATCACGTGGCGCATCTGGCGCACCAGGCGTACCCTGCACGCTTCGGGCACAGGGGTGCCTGGTGCACCTGGCGCGCATGGCGCGCATGGCGCGCTTGGCGCACCTCGCCCCAGCGTTGCGCACATGGGGCCCATTCAAGGACTGCCGCTGAACACGCTGCGGCGCGGGTGCTACTTATTTGTTGGGAGGGCGGGTGGGAGTGAGCAAGACAGCCTGCGGGCGGGGAGGGTGTCTTGACCCCTCCCCCTACCCCTGGACCTGGACGAGGCGTTTCGCGAGCAGTTGGAGCGTCCAAGATGGCCTCGGCGAGGAAGCCACAATCATTGATAGTACTACGATTTTAGCTACATGTTGGCTCCTTGGGGGGGGGTAATTTACTACGGCCCTCTTCTTTGATCGATCACCTCCAAGACGACCTCAAGATGTCCCCCGAGGTCCCCAAGAATGCCATAAGAGGGCCCCAAGAGGTGCCCAGAAGGCCCCAAGAGGCCCCCGAAGACGCCCTCAACATGCCCCCGAGAGGCTCCCACGACACCCCCAAGAGGCCCCAAGAGGCTCCCCAGAGGCACCCAAGACGCTTCAAGGAGGCCCCAGGACCGCCAAGAGGACCCAAATACGCCCCAACAGGCCTACAAGAAGCTCTCGAGAGGCATCCGAAAAGACTCCGGCAAAAATCCAAGAGGCCTCTGGCCTTTCTGTTCGCCCTCCTCCACTTCCTCTTCCGCATCCGCCTCATCCTCCTCCCCCCTCCCTTTTCCCTCCTCCTTCCTCCCCCTCCCACTCGTCCTCCTCCCCCTCCTCCTCCTCCTCCTCCTCCTCCTCCTCCTCCTCCTCCTCCTCCTCTGGTTCCTCCTCCTCCTCCCCATCTTGGGGTATGACGGCAACCCTGCCTTTATTCCACCGCGTGCTCCCCCACATGCCTGATCAAGGCAACTCGCCTGGGCATTGTTTCTGGATGGGCTGGTGGGGTTCCGCGAAGCGCCCAGAATAGAAGAGAGGAAGGGGAGGAGGGAGGAGGGAGGGGAGGACATGAGGGAATGTCACGAGTTGTTCTTGTTTGCTTGCTCGATGTGCGCCATGATCATTCGCGTGCTCGTGAGGAACGAGGAGGAAGGAGGGGAAACGAGGGAGGAGGGAGGAGAAGGGAGGGCAGAGGAGAAAGACTGAATTGGGCCTCGAAGGTCAACACAGGATATGCCATCGCGGGTCTGTGAGAGACTGAGCGTCATCAGGAGGACCAGATTAGAGCGATGTCCTGCTCCTTGCACTCCTCCCACCCTCCTCTTCCACATTAGCCTCCTCAGAATTTCATGGCGTTGCGCGAGACTTGGGCAATAGGTCCTTTGTGTCTAGGAACGCATGCCGAACTGCGGAACGAACTAGATGACAACTGTAGCAGGCACACCGGTTCACATACTGAAGAGCTTGCGGACATGAAAATTCTGTGCCGGAATGACCATATGTATAGCATGGATCGCATTGGACTGGCATAGAGATGCTACTGGAGGTTAGGGTCGCGGGCACGTCGCAAAGGCCACGAAGAGGCGCGTTCTCGCGGCTGCCTGCCGCAAGGAAAAAGAGCGTGGTGAGCCACGTTCGGGCAAACAGTGCCCCCACCACCTCCATGTTTAAGGGACGGCTCCTGCACTGGAGATGTACACACATACACACACCTGAGATCCAGCGTCTCGAAAAAGTTGGAACGTAGTGAAAAGGCACGACAAAAGCCCTAGACCCAATCTTTCAGCATCATTGCTCGAGCCTGACCCATGTGTGAGGGTCCCATGGCACAACCTCAGGCGGAAACGACCGGCTCGAAAAAATGAATCGCCAGGATCTCAGGGACACACAGGCACACATACATACATACATACATACATACATACAGACAGACATGCATGCATGCATGCATGCATGCATGCATACATGCATGCATGCATGCATATATACCTATATGTATATATAACTATAAATATATACATGCATACATACAAACAAATGAACACACAAACATAACGACATGTATACATATATGTATACATACATGCATGCACATATGCATACATCTACACCGATCTACAAACATACATGCCTGGATACATGCATACGTATAAACAGACATGCATGTACATACATCTACGTATATACCTGTACAGATAAATGCATGCATACATACATACATATGTATATGCATACATGCATACAAACACACATACACACATATGCATACCTATAAATGAACATGCGTACACACAGTCTTACACATGCAGACACGTCCATATACACAACTAGACATACATACATACGTACATACCTACATGCATACATGTATGTATACGTATATACATACATGCATGCATGCATACATACAAACATACATATGTACATACATATATGCATACATGTGTATATACATACCTGCATCCATACAGACGTACGTGCATACATACATATATACATGCATGAATATATACGTATGCAAGTGATTACATTTACATAAATCTATATCGAACTAGAACCATCGCGCGCGTTTCGCGCGCGCTCAGGTTCTAGCACCAAAGGTCACTCTAGCGAAGGGTCACAGTTACGCCGGGGGCAGCCAAGAGGGGGCGCCAAAGACGGGGGTGCGCAGATCAATGTCGGCGGCACGTGCTAGGCCCAGGGAGGGGCACCAGGGACGTAATGGCAGAAGAAGCGGCGCCATGAGATCTGGGAATCTCATGGCCCCCGCCATGAGATCCCCCCAACTAGTCGTGAGGGGCAACGATAGGGGGGGATAGGCATAGGGGGGGATGCATCGACCTGGAATCGGCGATACATCGTCGATAGATCGGCGATAGGCCCCCAATATAGATTCCGTACCTTCCTGGGCGGGGTGGTGCCATCGGGCCCCTATCGGCGATCAATGGGCGATTGGGGGTCGATGCATCCCCCCCCTATGCCTATCCCCCCCGATCGTTGCCCCTGAAGGCGTCACCACCCTTGGGGGCCGTCCCCGATGGCAGTCGGCCCGCATCACTAGGAGGTAAGGATGCAAGGGCCTCGGACGCCTATTCCGGAGACGCAAGTGGCCAAGGATGGACCGAGGAGGCAAGGATGCAAGGGTACCCTTTGAAAAGTTGTCCATGCTCACTGCGCGGGTTGACTGTACTTGGAGCTGCTTCCTGCGCCCGGCCGGAGCGCCGCCCCCCCTAGTCATCACCGATACGTTTAGGTCGGGCATGTCCTCCCATAGGCAGGTCCTGTAAGAAAAGGGGAAATAGCCAAAACATATTCCCAACTAGTCCAAGATAGTCCAGACATCGCCTCCATCTTGTTTTGTTTGATGAATTCTCGTTGGGTCCCCCTCCTGCAGAAGGGCATGCCCGACTTACGAGCATGCGGAGCTGACTCAGAGCGCCCAACCAGAGCGCCGCGCCTGCTCCACGGCAGGGCCGGGCGGCGCGCGGGGGGGCGGCGGAGCGCCCAGCGATGCACCGGGGATGCACCGTCGACGTCGGCGGTGCGTCGGCGACGTCGGCGTGCAGCACATCGGACTCCGCATCGGCGATGCATCGGCGATGCGGCGGCGATCCTCCGACCCCATCTGCCCGGACCCCATCCAGGAGGCCCACCCAGACCTGCGACGCCCTGATGTTGTCAGGACGGGGGGCCCGGACGTCCCGACCCCGTTCCCTGGGACCGGCTCTGCATCCTGAGCCGTTGTTTGACGGTCCCGCGGCCCGGCGAGGGCCCCCCGAGGTCGGAAATCTCCCAAAAGCCTCACGTCCTGACTTTTTTCCGACGCGATCGCGTCTGGGCAGAGGAGCGCCGCGTCTCCCCCGCGGCAGGGCCAGGCGGCGCGCGCTGGGGGGCGGCGGGGCGCCCCCGGGCGCTGCGCCGCGCGGCCGCCCCGGGCCCCAGGCGCCCTGGCGGCTGCGCCCGGGGCCACGCGCGGGCTGAGCGCGAGGTCGCGAGCGGCCCCCCGGCCAGCGACCCAGGCGCGGCCCGCCCCGAGCTGGGCGCGACGATCGGGGACATGCAGGAGGGGGGCGTCCCAGAGGGGGGGGGGTGCAGCTCATGGCCCGACGCTTGTGCGCAGGCCAGGGGGGGCCAGGGAACGCATTGAAATCAGAAGAGGCGCCATGAAATCTCGGGAGGTACCATGGCCCCCGCCATGATATCCACACACCCCTAGTCATCACACCCCTCTTGGCCGCTCCCGAACTTCGTGAAGGGGGCGCGAAACACGCGTCGGGTCCTGGCGGATTTCAAAAGGGGGCGATGCGTAGGGGGGGGGGAGAAAGGGGCCCCCCGTCTGCGCCCCCCCGTGCGGGCCGAGCTCAAGGCCGCAGCGCCCCTTGGCCAACCTCCCGGGCGCGGTGGGCTCGACTTCGCGCGTGCGTGCGCAGCGGTAGGCTCTGAAAGCCCACGGGCGAGCGACAGCAAGGTCATAGCACAAGGGGGGAGATGCCGTGGCGCACTCTCAGACGCCAGCGCAGCTCGCGCTGCCAGCGCGAAGTAACGGGGGGGGGCGATACATGGGTTGGGGGGCGGGGGGGAAGGGGCCCTCTTCGGGCCCTGGAGGAGCCCCCTCGGGGGCCCAAAGGGCCCCTGGAGGGGCCCAAGAGGGGCTCCTTCTTCGGCAGCCCACGCTGCCCCCCCCACCCCACACTTGATCGCCCTCCAGCAAGCGCGGTCCACAACTCAAGACCGCGGCGGCCCCCCTACCAGCCTCCTGGGCGCGTCCCGCCCCGAGTTGGGCGGCCGAGCAGCTCACCGGGCAGGGGGGAGAAGCGGCAACCTTGGCGCCGCCGAAGTCGGCCACGGGCCGACATGCAGCTAGCTCTCTATTCGAGCCATCCTGGGGCCCCGTTGGGCCGTCTTGGTGGTAAGCATGTTCTTATTCGGCGTCTCGACATGGGGCGGAAGGGGGTGGAGAGAGGGGGGGTGTGGCTCCAGACCTCTGCGTAACGCCACTGTTGGCAGCAGTGCGGCCCATGGGGGAGACCCCACCCGCCTGAGACAGGCGCCAAAAACAGCCAAGACCTATACGCCATGCGGGGGAGGGGAGGTGCGAGGGCCCGCGCCGATCGGCAAAACGATGATTGAGGAAACGATCACGTGCTATCGTGGGCCTTCTGGGCTGTTTGGAACAGATCTTCTGGGCCTCTCAGGAGGCGGTCTCGGACGCCCGGGAGGCCGAAGGATCGAGCAAACTCGAATCATACAAGTGGCTCGATGCCGCGCCAATTTGCGCATGTAGCTGATCAAATGACTGCAGCTGGCTCAGAATAGCTCTGTGAGGGTTGCCTCTAGTCAGGATTGTAGTCGGCTACTGTGCTTGGACAGCGGTCGCTTGTGATGTTCGCTTCGTGATAGATCGTTGCGAGACGTGTCTGCCGTTAGCATTACCGACTGTCTGCACAACGCTCGCGATGCTGAGGGGAGCCCATGCTTCTGCGACCGTCCGCACTGCATCGGCTGTAACTCTGCAGGCACTTGCGCGCCCAGCACTAGGCCGAGAAAGCCCTGGAGCGCGACGAAAAGCACGAACCCTGATACAAGAGAGTGAAGCTCCTCCTGGCGATCGTCCTTGTCGTCGTCGTCCTCCTCCTCCGACTCGCAAGCGAGCCTCAGCGTCACCCGGCTGCTCCTCACCGCGTAGGTACACCTGGTGACGGAGAGCGGCACTCACAGACAGAGAGACAACCAGACAACCAGACAGACAGACAGACAGACAGACAGACAGACAGACAGACAGACAGACAGACGGGCGGGCAGGCAGACAAGCATGCAGACACGCACACACACACACATGCATATACAAACATATACATATACATGTATATATACAGATGTATCTATAACACACACACACACACGCGCACGCGCACTCAAACATAACATTACAGAACAATCCTGTTGCAGCGCGCACGCTTCCCATGGAGGAGGACAGGGTGGATCAGGAGGGGGTGGAGTATGCACTGAAGGAACCAACAAGTGGAGAAGGGAGACGAGAAGGATCAGGAGGGGGAGCACAATGAGGCGGAGGAGACAGTACACGTCGCATATGATGATGCCAACCTCTTCTTGACAGTTCGCTGTAACAGAGCAGTGCGCAAGAGTGCTTGATGGTGAAGGGGGCAGTGAGGGAATGGGGAGTAGGAGAAGGAGAAGGAGGAGGAGGAGGAGGAGGAAGAGGAGGAGGTGGTAACTTGGTCACGCTTAGCTGGGTCGGCGCAGGGGGGAGAGCGGTGAAGGATCGGGTGTCGCTAGAAGTGCCCCTGGGCCAAGGTGCCCCCAGGAATTCCGAGGGGGCCCCCACGGCCTCCAGAGCACCCCTCACGAGGCCCACAGGGCCCCAGGGGATCCAGAATGGAGCGAGAAGCTGGTGGCACCTAGTGCCAGGGGTACCCGCAGCACCCCTCGATCAGGAGGACTACCACTACCCGTGGCCGGAGCGCTGCTTTGGAGCCCTGGGCGACATGTCCGGCACGACGCGGCGGTGGAAGTCGGCGAGGCGGAGCCCGAAGGGTATCCTTCGCGGCTCGAAGGGGGGGCGGGCAGGAACCGCACCACCAGGAGAATCGTCCTCGTCGTCGTCGTCCTCGCCGTCGTCGTCTTCGTCGTCGTCGTCGGAGGAGGAGGAGGAGGAGGAAGAGGAGGAGAGGGAGGAGGAGGAGGAGGAGGAGGAGGAGGAGGAGGAGGAGGAGGACGGCAGAGCATTGCCCCGCTGCCGTTCGACAGCGGCGCCGCCCGTCGCCAGAGCAGCAGGGCCCCCCCCTGAAGGTTCCCTGATGGTGCCAGTCTGCACCTGCCATGCGCGTCCCGCCACCGCTCGGACGTCCATCCCCCGTGCGCTGTGCGGTTCCGTGCGCGTCTGTTTCTCGTGAGCTGATCCAAGCGATGCTCTTACGTCTAGTCGATCCGAGGGATACTCTTCGATGGCCCTCGCCGGCTCCTGCACACGTCCGAGCGATGCCGAGGTGCTAGATCTCAAGAAGGAAGCTCCCGACCCGCGGAGATCCGATGTCATGAGTTGTTCAATACGCGGTCCCCAGAAGCTTCAACATATTCCCCAGGACTGGTTTTTCACCCTGCGTCGTTTTGTTGACGTTCCCGGGGCCCGGCGAGGGCCTCTAGAGGTCGAAATCTGCGAAAAAACTCCGTCTTGATTTTTGTCAGACGTTGGATCTCTGGGCCTGCCTCGCACACCCTGCATGCCGCGGCCGCCACGCCCAGCGTGCACAACGGTGCTGCCCAGGGATCCCGCCGCATGTCTCCGACGAGCGGCGGCTTCCTAACGCGGCCGCCCGGCCTAGAGAGCGTGCTGGTGCTCCCTGGGGATCCAGATGCTCTCCTCGATGGCCCTCGCCGGCTCATGCACACGTCCAAGCGATGCCGAGGTGTTAGATGACAAGGAGACTCCCGACCCGCCTCGCACACCCTGCGTGCCGCGGAAGCCACGGCCCAACGACTAGGTCGGGCGTGTCCTCCTGCAGTCGGATTTTCTCGGGGTCCACCAATGGGGGTGGTGGGACCCTGAGGGCGGGGGGGGGAGTTCGATCCGCTGGTGCATCGAATTTCCAAAAAAAACGATGTCCCCCGCGCGCCCCGAGTGTCGACGCCTCTCGGGTTCCGGTGGCGGCCGGGGACCTCGTTTTGCATAGTTGTTCTGCGGTTCGATGCGCCAACGGACCGATATCCCCCCCCCTGTGGCACCCCCCCTTTGCGAGGTCCCGATCTTCGACGAAAAATTGAAAATAGTCCGCATGCTCCAAAAATGCTCGAGGATACTCACAAAATCGTCCCCGGAGGATCTTTTCGCTATGTTTGGATATTCCTCCTGCAGAGGGACAGGCCCGACTTAACCCAACGTGCACCGGTGCTGCCTGGGGATCCCGCCGCACGTCTCCGACGAGTGGCGGCCTTTCCTGCCGCGGCCACCCGGCCCGGAGAGCATGCTGGCGCGGTCACTCGAAGCAGAATACAACCCGAAATGCGATCAAGAGGAGTACTAAGTACCCTCCCGAACATCGAGGCCAGCCTTCTGCTGTGAATTACGCTTGGGGAGGGGGGGGGGGGGGGGGGCGAACGCGCTCAAAAATAATAATGCAAAAAAAACTGGGCCAGCTCTGCGGCAGGTTGGTTGGGAGACGCCGGCCCAGCTCTTCGGGAGCAGGCTGCTTCATCGGATGCCCGGCGGCAGCACTGTGCTGTTTGCTGTGGGAATTCAGGAGGGACCTGGAGCAGTCTGGGAGTTTCTGGAGAGGGAGGGGCAGGGGGAGGGAGGGGGAGGAGAAGGAGGAGGAGGAGGAGGAGGAGGGAGGAGGAGGAGGAGATCGTTGTTCGTGAATTCCAGTTCAAGCTGAATACACTCCGACTTGAACAGCAACTGATCTGTGCTGCGACTCTGCTGGGTGGATATCTTCCCCCGTTCGGGGAGCGCGCGCACTTCCACATGGCTCGAGCGACTGCGAAACTCAACGAGCGAGGGAGGAGGAGGAGGAGGAGGAGGAGGAGGAGGAGCAGGAGGAGGAGGAAGGGGAGGAGGAGAACAGTCAGGGACGCAGAGGGGGGGGGGGGGGGGCAGGAGAGGGTGGCAGGAGAGGCAAGAGAAGGAGGAAGGAGAGAGGAGGAGAGAGGAGGAGGAGGAGGAGGAGGAGGAGGAGGAGGAGGAGGAGGAGGAGGAGGAGGAGCGGGCAAAGGGCTGGAGAGTGGAAGGCTGGGGCAGAAGGGGGCTGCGGGGCGGAGCTGCGCGGGGCAAGGCCACCCGAGCCCCGGCTCGGCGCGCGCCGGTACCGGCTAACCTCCCTGAGATCCCTCCTGAAATGCGCCCTGGCCATTCGCGTGGGGGAAGCGGGTCCTGACGGAAACGGGGCCTGGATCCTGGTGCCTCCCCCCAGGACGAGTTCTTCGTCCTGAGCCGCTTGCTGACAGGGCTGGGGCCCGTGGAGGGCCCCGGGAACCCGAAAGAAAAAAGATCGGGACCCAGTTCCCTCGGGACCAGGGTCACCCAGGGCGAGACCAGGAGTCAGGGGTGAATCTAGAGGGTAGAAATTCCACCCCCAGAATAAATCACCCCGACAAACGAAGCCGTTTCGTAAATACGCCCACGGAAGGAATCGAACAGGGCGGGGCTGTTCAGTAAACGCCCAAAGCCGTTCAGTAAACGTCAACTGTCGGGTCCAGGGGGACTTTCCTCCCATGAGAATCTGGCCCGTGCGACGAGCCCCCCCCCCTCCAGGAGGCCCAAAGGTTAGGTCGGGCGCGTCCCCCCACAGGCGGATTTTGGACGAAAAATAAAACATATCCAAAAATAGTCAAACGTAGTCGGGAAAACGTCCCCAGACTATTTTTGGACTATTCTCGAATATTCCTCCTGTAGTAGACCGATTTTTCCCGGAAAGGGCAAAGGCCCAGGGTTCTCTTTTAGTATGTAAACAATGTCCCCGTGCCCAACTTGAAGGAGGCCAGCGGATTCTTTCCCTCATAAATATCCAGGTCGAAGGAGGCCGGCGGATTAAAATTTGAGGATGTCTCAGGCGAAACGCTTGTTTTTGAAATCCCGATCGATAAATCACAGGGTGCGGGACACTTCAGCACGACCACACCCCAGCACGACCCCACCCCAGCACGACAACGCCCCAGCACGACCACGCCCCAGCGCGACCACACCCAAGCACGACCACACCCCAGCACGACCACACCCAAGCACGACCCGATCGATAAATCACAGGGTGCGGACCACCCCAGCACGACCACACCCAAGAACGACCCCGCCCCAGCACGACCCCACCCCAGCAAGACCACACCCCAGCACGACCACACCCCAGCACGACCACACCCCAGCACGACCACACCCCAGCCCGACCCCACCCCAGCACGACCACACCCCAGCACGACCACACCCCAGCACGACCCCACCCCAGCACGACCCCACCCCAGCACGACCCCACCCCAGCACGACCACACCCCAGCACGACCCCACCCCACGACCACCCCAGCACGACCCCACCCCAGCACGACCAGCACGACCACACACGACCCCGCCCCAGCCCCCAGCACGACCCCAGCAAGACCACACCCCAGCACGACCACACCCCAGCACGACCTCACCACAGCACGACCACACCCCAGCACGACCACGCCCCAGCACGACCACGCCCCAGCACGACCACGCCCCAGCACGACCACCCCCCAGCACGACCACCCCCCAGCACGACCACCCCCCAGCACGACCACCCCCCAGCACGACCACACCCCAGCACGACCACTCCCCAGCACGACCACACCGCCTTGGTTGAGTGGTTGCCTGTCGTCGTGGAATGTTTCGTGGGGTGGCTCGTGGAATGTTTCGCGGGGTGTCTCGTGGAATGTTTCGTGGAATGTTTCGTGAGGTGTCTCGTGGGATGTTTCGTGAGGTGTCTCGTGGGATGTTTCGTGAGATGTTGCCTAGTTGGGTATCGTGAAAACGTGTCCATGCTCCACATGTCTATATCCCTTTCCGGGTTCGTGGGTCCATCATGTTTTTGAATCGGAGATAACCCGGGTTATCCCGGGGGGGGCTGGGGGGGGGGGAGGAGGGGGCCGGCCGATAACCTAACCCTCGCGCTGTGGGCAGCCCTGCACATGCCCGCGCCCCCCCCACCCCAGACCGGCACCACCGGCAAGGTCAGGTTATCCTGGGGGGGGGGGGGGGAAGGGGGACGGGGGAAAGGGGGGGGCGAGCCCGATCCCCCGGGCGATCGCCGGACCCTAAAACAAAAAAACGGTCTCGAGAAGGACAGGCCCGACTCGAGGCGACGAGCCCCCCCCCTCCCCCAGGAGGCCCAAGAGGCGAGGCGAGGCGAGGCGAGCCGCGGAGCCGCGCGCGTGCCCCGCCGGGAGGGTGGGGGGCCCGCCGCTCGTGGCCAGCAGGGCACGCGCGGCGCGGAGGCCGCAGCAACGCGGCGCGGCGCGTCGGGTGCGCCCGCGAGCGGCCAGGCGGCAGCGGAGGCCCGTCCACGAGAAGCCTTCCATTAGAAGCCCGAGCCTCGAACCCTCGAGAAGCTTGGAAAAGACATATATATATACACATATATATACATGCCTGTAAACACATACACGCATACATACATACATACAGATCGACACATCTGCAAACGTGCATACATACATATATACATACATACATACATACATACATACATACATACATGCATGCATGCATACACACATACATACAAACATACATACACACATACATACATGCATATATATATAGACATGCACGCATACATTCATACATACATACATACATACATACATGCATGCATGCATGCATGCATGCATACATACATACATGCATACATACATACATACATGTATCAATACATTCATACACACACATACACACATACATACATACATACATACATACATATATACATACATACATACACACATACATACATACATACATACATACATACATAGATACATACATACACATACACACATACACACAGCTCTACACACCTACATACATATCAACATA